GGTTTCATTGGTTTATTCGTTATCTCAGCATGTACTTGTTTCGTTCTGCGTAATACAGCACTTTTAGGCTTTAATTTTGAAATCACGACGTACTGAAATTGCAGCCCTGATTTAAAGTCACACTGATGTAAAAGAAAAATTAACAGCAATTTCAGATAGAGCATGCTCCGAGGAACGTGTTTTCAAAGTAAGAAGAAAGAAAAAAAACAAGTAAGCTGGAGCTTGTATTAATACTTCGTCTGTGTACAATATGCTCCGAGGTCCTCAGAGCACAAACTAGACCTCCCAAGATGCTCAACACAATAGAATAGAATGGAATATTTCAGTTGGAAGGGACCTACAGTGACCATCAAGTCCAACTGCCTAAACAATTCAGAGCTGACCAGAAGTGAAAGCATGTTGTTAAGGGCATTGTCCAAACACCTCTTAAACACTGACAGGCTTGGGGCATCGGCCACCTCTCCCAGTTTATACGTGTGCCCAGCGCTACTCCATTCTAGGTTCAGAATCTGGCATTTGGACTTGTTAAATTGCATGTCATCAATCATTTCCCAGTGCTCCAATCCATCTAGATCCCTCTGCAAGGCATCTTGTCCCTCAAGAGCATCAACGGCACCTCCCAGTTTGGTCTCATCAGCAAACATGCTAATGGTGCATTCAAATCCTGCATCCAGACTGCTGAAAAATATATTGAACAGAACTGGCTCTAGGATTGAGCCCTGAGGAACACCACTAGTGACCCACTGCCAGCCAGAAATAAGGCCAAGATATGAAGGGCACGATTAGATTCAGTTTACAGATGGCATAACAGAGGCACAGGTAGGTTTAAGTATCTTCTGTATCATGCAAATGGGTCAGCAAGACATCAGGAAACTAAACTACTCCTTAAGCTCATCCCTAGTCTCATCAGACTCCTCCCATGTTGGTTCCTCAGCAGAATTCATTTCAGACAGAGGTTCTGAAGTACAGGAGTGAAAAAGAAAGCAAGCTGACAAAGAAAAGACCCTCACCTCCCAGATGGTAGCGAGTGGCCGTCACAGTGAGGCCTGTGACACAGCTGCCGCTGAACAGTGCTGAGCCATCCTCCTTCACATCCTGCACAACCAACTGCACCTCCTTCCCAGGCACCAGTTCACAAAGCTCTTGGGCCATGCTGGACTCCCCTAAAGAAAGGGAAGAAAAAGTGAGAAATCAGTTTTACCTATGCTGTTTCTTTGCAAAACAAAGAGTTTTCACATTTGCTCAAGACAGCATGAGCAAGAATTTATAGCCACCTTCATAACAGAAAACAGGGTTTAGGCTCCTGAATCTGCAGAAATACAAAGAAATAGATTCTAAGATTTAATCAAAGTAGAAACACTTTTGTAAAAATCAGGATCTGATGACTCTGGAGAGAACATTTTCTAACCTTATATAAACACTATCACGCAGCATTGCATATAGAAAAAGGTGAAAGCAAAATAGATCAATATTAAAAGTAAAAACCACACTTGCCACTTCACAACTATAGCAAACAAAACATTAAACATTACTAGATATAAAAAGAACCTAAAAAGACAAAGATGAAATTTTATAAACTGCAGTACACACAGTATTCCTAACACTTGAAAAACAGCATGTGAGAAAACCTTTGCTGGAAGACCTGTCCAGATCATGGCTTGACCGTTGGACAGCTAACTTGTCCAGCCTTTCTCATGTCACAGCAAGTGACACTGATGCACTCAGGCCAGTTCCAGTTGTCTGCTATCCTTCCATCACTTCTGAGTATAGAAAAGAACTGACACGATGTCCACTCTGATTCTTATGTGCTTATTGGATGAGGGGAAATTCAGGTTTGGGCATTGGGCAGCCTGTTTTGCTCCACTAGTGTTCTGTGGCAACTCACTCAAGAAATTCACACAGAAATAAATTCTTTCTGGACTTTCATGACTCATTCTTCCACTAAAAAAAACCCAAACCAAAACAAAAAACCAACATAAAACAAATGCCTAAACCTCTGTTGGCACATTAGCTAGGTTTCACAGGTTGGCCCAATATCTCTTGTATCTGTAAGCTCTTTGGAGTTTAACATCTGTTTACTGACCAGAGAAATCTGGTCTGCAGACTAAAGCTCTTAAAATAAAAGAGTATAGAATACTAAAAATTAACCACTGCCACATTAAAAATACAGATAGAGACAATTCTTCATGTAACACATAAGTAAATGATCAAACTACCACCACACACCTCAGCTGATTAACTTCTAGATTGGTTCCTAAAGCAATTATGAATATCCACACCAGAAAGGTGTCTCCAAGGCTGGAAAAAGGCTTTGATTCACAGAACATCCACTCTAACCCTGGCCTTCTTTATTTTCACCTTCATATGCCCTTCAAGGAACTCATCCTTTAGTACCATTGTATCTCGCATCTTCTTTTGATATACGGACCTCACAGTCCATGTCTGAGCTTTCACTTGAAAGAATATGGTTTCCCCCTCTTTTTTTTTCCCCCCTCTCGAGCCCCTTTTTTGCAGTGTGATCCCCTCTGGCAGAACATGTGCAATCTTTTACCTTGACTTCTCAACAGGTTTCTGATTTCTTTCATCTCCTTGAAATATTGATTCAGCAGAGCAAAGCTCTCCGCAGCAGAATCCCCTGAGCTGCACTCTGACACCTTCAAATTGAGGAGCACGCGCTGCTTCTCCTCATCAATGCTCATCACCTTTGCGATCACCGTCTGTCCCACCACAAAGTGGTCCTTGGTGTCCGTCACAAACTTGTCACACATGCTCTGTGCAAAGGAAACAAAGGGGCGAGTGTTACTGAGCTGCTATCAACCACCTGCAGAGCTCTTCAGAAGGCTTTAAGAATTCATGAAGATGTGTAAGAGAAATTAACAAATACTAATGAAAAGCCATCAACCAAAATGAATTACTGAAGTCACATAAAATCCTCGTTTGAACCTTAAGCTCACTTGAATGACATCTTTTATCTCATTTCAGAAGTAGATCAAAACACAAACCTACAAGCAGCTTTTACCCAACTGGAGGAAGCTGTGCAAACACAGGATCCACAGCCCGCCTCTTCCCTCCTGGTTACTGTACCTTTGCTAAAAGCCACCTCTCAGGCGTGGCCGATCACACACGTGCCACACACTGAAGAGAACTCATTGCTTACCACTTTGGGCGCCAGTCCTGTCACACCAAAAGGGAACTCCACAAACACTCCAAAAGGCATCACATTCCTCACGTAACCAGTCAACAACATTCCAGGCTGGATGTCAGAGAAACTTCTCACAACTAGCTCCTCCTGTACAGCAGAAATCACTGCAGACTTTCTGCTCAAGATCTGAACAACCAGTTAGGAAAAATGGGAAAAGATTATTGAAAGGAGCCTGATGCCAAGCAAAACTCTTGGCATTGCTAACCACTGGGCTAGAGCACTTCTTGCAGGTTAGATAGCACAGAGGCTCAAAATCCTGCAATTCCAATTTCTGTCTTGACCTCTCTATACTAAAATTTAGCAACCGATGCCTCTTAAGCTACTCAACATAAAAGATGCATGCTTCACGCTAGCAGAAATGTCAGCTTCCTAATATTTCAGTTCTGATTTTTAGTATAAACCAAGATTTTCCTTACTAAGTTTGTGGTATGTTAACAGCCCAGAAGATCAGGCAATTCACAACCAAGTCCTAGTTCTGATGGGATTCTAGCAGCAGCTGAGCCTCGCTTTTAAGACAAGCAAATAATAATGGCTCTCTGAAGCATCACTAGCTTGACAGGTACTTCCACTTCAGCACGTAACTAGTGTATCTTCTGTTCACAGAGCTCTGGATTCCTGGCAGATGCCTTCTTCCCCCCTCCCCCTGCTTTGTTTGACTGGTTGAGATGGCAAAGGATACGATCCGCTCTCCCTTGGCACTCAGGCACATAACTCTGGGTAGGACATCTCCCTCTTGAAGATAATGCCACAGGAGCTTGCAGTTGGTAACAAAGTCAGAAAGGTGCACTGTGGGAATCCAGGCTGTCACACTGCTTTCATCTTCTAGGATAGAAACCTCTAGTCCATTATCTTTCTTCCTCAAGACTTTCACATCAACCATCTAAAAAGAGAACAAACAGTGATATAAAATCCCAAGTGTCTCTGAAGTCATCCCTTTGGCTGCACAGGGTACCAAATGCTGTGCTGCAGGGGCTCTGACACGGCCTCTCAGCTGTATATGAGAAAAATCTCACATCAGCAGGGCTGAGCCTAAAAAGCATTGCACCGCTGACAGTAAAATAAAAAGCAATCCTCAGCTCCCAGAGAAATCAAGAGCTAGAAATGGGTTGTGAAGTTTTATTTGAAGGGTGAAGGGAATAATTTAAGCAAGCCTAAAACTGTCCTGTTTCCTGCATTAGCAATATCTGCAGGGTGCTGGAAACCGTTTTCAATCCAAAGACAACAGGGAAACGTTTCAAAACATTTCTCTGAAGTTGTCTTCTTCCAGACAGCAAAAGCAGCTGCTTTAGGAGTGAGAACATCAGCAGCATCCAGAAAAGGGCTCTGCATAGGAGTAGGAGCACTAATTGGTACGTCCAGAAGGACTGTCCTGGGACTCCTTTATCAAGACATCTGACAACAGAGATCCTGGTTTTGATCCAGGAGGCCAACCACACAGTAAGAAATGCACATTTAATGCTAGTTGCTGACTACCACCAACTCTTCTTGAAGCAAAGTTGTTCAAAGTGATACCAAATTGTTTGGAAAACAAGTAGGAAAGAAAAAAAAAAAGGGAGCAAACACTGAATTCAATACCTCTCCTATTTGATATTTCACTTCCTGCTTCTTTTTTGGAGTACCTTCCTTTTTGTCCTCTGGGGCAGACTTTCTTGATAACCTGAAGGACAACAAGAGTCTTTCCACTTTAACAACCTGCAGCAATAAAAGGTAAAAAGAGAAGTTTAATTCAGCTGAGCCTCCCGCTCTGTGCGCCACCACCCCCGAAATGAGACAAGGTAATGCGTACACAGCACACTTCTCTCCCACACCTCAGGTTAGCAGGCCAGTGACTGTGACTTAACAGGTTCAACCACAGCCAAACGTCCTTCTGATCACACAGATGGAAAATTCAATTACATAATCATTAAATGACTTGCAAAAAACATGTGGCAGCTCTGTAGCAGAGTTGAGAATAAAATTTACATCTCCAGATTTGCAGTCAGAAATCTTGACCCGAAAATTACCCTTCTCCTTAGCCAGCCAACAAACAGCAAGATTAAAGATGAACAAAAGCACAAAAAAAAAATAAGGCGGCTGAGATCTCTATAAGCTTGCCCACAAAAAGACCAGAACTTGGTGAACAGCATGGTTCCTAGAGTGCCTGGTTTAAGATGTGCAGGCTTTGAAACAAACAGGAAAACCAGAATAATGCAGAGGCAGAAAACCTTATCCTTCTGATTCTGCAGGCAAGACTTAACTTCCTCAGAAGAAATTGCAACCTAGAACCTCGAACTTGTACTGAGATCGCAGGAGCTCAACCAAGTGCCATCCTATATCACATGTCATGGTGCCTCCTGCACACCAGAACAAAGAGAGCCTAGAAATAAAGACAGCTCTGTAAAATACTCAAAGAAAAGCTGCCCCTTTCACACCCTTTCAAACACAAGGCATTGCATAGGTACATTAATTACCTGGCCTTCAAAGAAGACTTTATCTGGACAAGATATAGGTTCTGAGCTCAGCTCATTCTTGGGTACCAGACCTTTGACATCATTGTAGAACTTCACAATGCAGCCAAACTCCCTCGCACACACCACAAAGCCGTGTGTGATCAGACCTGGTTTTGCATCTTCGTAACTGCAGAGGACTGGAAGCTTTGATTGGATAAGGCTTTTCTTTACAGTAAGGATCAGCTTCTTTCCTGCAGGATTGCACTCTAGCACCTACAAGAATCGAGTACAAGAAGGTTCCAAAAGCATGTCTGCCATTACCTGACCAATCCAGCTGCTAAATACTCAGAACAGAAGAGTGCAAAGTAGCCAAAGACCCTCTCTGGCAGCTCTCACCCGACACTTGACTTCATCTCCTATGCTGTACTTCTTCTCAGGCTGCTTCAGGATCACATCAGCAAGATGCATGGATGGCACGAGCCCTTTAATCCCATCAGCCACTTTCACCTGCATCCCAATGGGTTTCAGAGCAAACACTTTGCCCTAGAACCCAAAACAGGGAAAAGGGTCAATAAATTCAGCATGAAATGCAGACCACGCACAGGTAGGAAACAGCTAAGACACTGCATCACCTATTATCACCAAATCTAATCACCCTCCAAACAATAAAAACTTAGTCAAACCCACATGCCACCCAACCAATCTGACCCATGAACTTTTATACATTCCACAGGTTGTTTTACTGTCTCTTTTCCTTAAGCATAGGCTACTTCTGCAAAATACCTATTGACTCTGGCAAACCAGAATTGTTTCCACAGACACACCCAATACAGTCATGACTCAGACGTTAACAATGATCCTAACTGATAACTTTCTACCCCCTCAGCTGATTGTGATGACAGACACACACACTTTTGCTTTGACTGTTTTAGTTTCTTGCACTCAAGCCTTACTAAACATGTATTCATAGCCACAAACAAATGGCTGACTGTGGCTAAAAGTTGATTGCCTTGGCAGTATCATGAATGGAAATCTGAACAAAATGGGGAACGAAAACTATCACACCCTGTTAATCAAATTATGCAAGGAGAGGTTTTTCTCCTCATTTTTGTATCACTAGTCAGAATCAGAAGTGGAATATACGTATTAGGCAGAGGAAATGCACACTGGTTAGACCACTGCTCTAAACAGAACTGCCACTAGTGCTGTGTCAGTCCTGCAGAAGCTTACCTGCACCACATCCCCTGCGTGGATATCTTGGTATTGCAGAAACCGTGCTTCAATAACCTGACTAGGAAAGAGACACAGCCAGAGACAGAGATCAGTCAACTTGAAGGAAATCCAGGATAAGAGGAAACAATCCCCTCTTTGCCTTGTCCCCATTATCCCACACACACACCAGTGCTCTACAACTCCAGAGTTCTTGTGGTTTACTCTAGCTGACCCACCTCCCAAAACAGCTCTCTGGACATGAAGTTCAGGGAGGTTCACCAGGCTGCATTCCAGGCGACAGCCACACAGTTATGGCCACCAGCCATGGCTCCATGAAAGGGAAACCCATCACCTGCATTGCTTAAAACCACACAGATGGAAATACTAAGAGGGAGGAACAAAATGGGCTGCGACTTGGAAGATCAAGTTGCAATTTCCTGTTCAGCTAGAGTCTTCTGACATGATTTCAGCAGAATTAATCTAGCCTCCCTGTGCCTCAGTGCACCAACTATACCAAGGGTGTCCCAACTCCCTATGGTATGGGGAGAATATGCAAGATGCCCAGACAACAGATAAAAGTCAAAAACCTCAAATGGCAAGTTCCAGTTCAGCAAAGCAATGTAGTATTTTCCACTCTTGACCAAATCCTTCTAATCCTTCAAACAATTTTCCATAAAGGTCTATGAAACTTACTGCTTCAGAGATACAATACACATCTCATCCATTAGGCTGTAGTCAATGATCCGACATTTATGTTTGCATCCTGACTTAAACATCCCAGGTTTGAAGGATTTTCTGTTTTTTGAAAGATGTTTCAACTAGAAAAAAAAAATACAATTTAGTGTTTGGAAAATGGAAGCATTGATACAGACCTTAGGCCGAAGTGGTAGCATCTGACAAAATCATTCCTCTAATGCACACTGTGCAGGTCTCACCAGTTCCTCTACAACAACCCTCCTACATTCCAACCTGAACAAGAGAAGGTATGATTTAGCAAACACCTTCCCCACTGTCTTAACTTTGCTGTATTTGTCTCACAAAGAACATAAAGGTAGAAAATAAAACCTCCTCCTAGCCTCCTTCCCCATGAGGCTAAGACAGCTATGGAGGACTTCCCTCACTGCCATGGTACTCACCCGTGCAAAGGCAAGAGTGCCATCATTAAGCTCGAAGATGGCACCAAACTGCTTGTAGAAAGCTTTCACTGTCGACTCCTCCACCACTGCCCCCATGCGATCACTGGAGAGCTGGTTTGGAGATCCCCCAGGGTGGAGGAAGGCCTGCCGTAGGGTAAGCCGCACCACCTTGGAGGTGGGGTGGACAGAGAGGATGCAAGCTTTCATCTGGAAGAATGTAATACATTCATTAAACACAAGTTTGTAAACCAAAGAGGAGAAAGCCACATGTCCCATGTTTTTAGACATTATGCTTGGTACCTTAACTCTTTACCCATGTACAAGCCCTTCCCAGTATTGCTAAAAGACATCATTTCAGTTCTAAGAGCTTCACAGACGAGGGATTTTTGCTTCTGTCTGTTGTTTATGGGCTACTCTGGTACCTGACCGCACAAGAGATTTCCTATCACTTGCAAGTCTCTCACGCCTCCCAAATAAGCCCACCATTACCCCAGGAATGGCTCTGCTCTTTACAGCTCCAAGGCAGCCATAATAGTCATTCAAATAAAAGATGAGAAAAGACAGCTATCAGCACTAAGATTTCAGAGATTATTCCACTGAAACCTGGTCTAGTGGAGGGTGTCCCTGCCCATGGCAGGGGGCTTGGAACTAGATGGTCTTTAAGGTCCCTTCGAACCCAAACCGTTCTGTGATTCTGTGAAACGTTGGAGAAGAGATATTGCAAGCAACATACCAACTCCAGCCACCTGTCACCCTCCTTACCACTTGATCTGGAGAATAGTTCATGGATTTCTCTTGGTCCATGTGCATGAAATCCACAATGCCAGTGAAGGAAGACAGAAAGCTCAGTTTGATCCCCAGTGGGGCTACCTAGAAAGGGGAAGGAAAAGATGCTGAAAAAATTTGTGCTTGATTTTCATACAGCTCAGAAACAGAGAGCAACTCACCTACTTCACAAAAAGGCACTGTCAGTGCTAATCAACAAGCACATCACAAGAAACAGGAAATCCACCAACAAATCTGCTTTCTACATTGTTTTGCAAAAACAATCCTTCAGTTTTTTAATAATGCTGGGTTTACTCTGAAGACTACTGCTAACCTGTGGGATATTTTTCCTAGACAAGGCCAGAGAAGAACAAAACGGATCCTTTTCTGCTTCAGGCTTCATCACCAACTCCAGGCGGAAGCATCACCAACAGCACAGAGATCAGACCTTATGTGAATGACATGTCCAGCAGATAGCAGTAAGAAATGGTTCCTGGAGAGGGTGGTGAGGCACTGGAACAGGTTGCCCAGAGAAGCTGTGGGTGCCCCATCCCTGGCCGTCTTCAAGGCCAGGCTGGATGTTTGCTATTGTAAAGTAACTGAGCCCAAGCACAAAGTTTTCCAGGGCATAAACTTCCATCACCATGTCACCTGTCTCCCCACCTTCACCAAGACTCAAACAAACCAGAGATTACCTTTTGCACTCGAGCTTTCACCACCAGCCCTGGCAGTAAGTTACTGAGCGTCCAGTTCTGTCGCTCTGTGGCAAGGGATGCAGCAACCTCTGATCGCTCAATCGACAAATGGACCACTCTTCCCTTGTTCTTTACCTCCACAATGAGACAGTTCAGGTTCTGGCCTATTTTCAAGTCAGACCCTGCAAAGACAAGTCACAGCATAAAACCTCCACCAGGAACACTCATGGATTCCCTTCCACTTTTTCCAAAGCTTTTTCAGAGTTCTCTCTCCTTTAAGAAGTTAAGACTCGCAGTTCAAGTGAAGTCTACTGCCAGCAGGGATGGATGGACGTGGAACAGTCCAGAACAGCCATTCAGAAAACAGGCTGAAACCCAAGGGCTTGTTGCAGAGCAGTCACAAAACTGCTGTTTTCAGCAGCTTACAAAGACTCCACCTTCACCCAATCTCATGAGATGCACTAACACCACAGCTATAAGAGTCTTTAATCCACTTTAAGCCCAGCAACTCCTCCTGCACTACTACTTACCCTTCTTGACCACTTTGATGTAATTTTGGGCTTTCTGACGAGGCAGGAAAGCGTGAGTCCCGCTGACACCAATATCAACGAGGTAGCCATGGTCTTCCACACTAGACACAATGCCAGAGAGCAACTGTTGGGAGGGAAGCACTGCAATTCAGTAATGTGATAAAACAGATGGTTCTTCAAAGAATGCACATCTAATAAAAGATTACCAACCCAAACACTTGTTTGATGCGGACAGACAGAACACTACATTCTTTTTTTATTACACAGCTCATCTGGCAGCGAGGTCTAGACTCTTCTCTCATCCAAATATGCACATATGGAATTCACAAACCAGTAGGGAAAAAATCAGGATGCTCAAAAATAGCAGGTGCTCTAATTCTTCATGGAAAAGGTGGTGAGGCACTGGAACAGGTTGCCCAGAGATGTTGTGGATGCCCCATCCCTGGAAGTGTCCAAGGCCAGGCTGGATGAGGCTTTGAGCAACCTGGTCTAGTGGAAGGTGTCCCTGCCCGTGGCAGGGGGTTGGAACTAGATGATCTTTAAGGGCCCTTACAACACTAACCATTCTGTGAGTCTGTGAGTCCCTTCCAGCCCAAACCATTCTATGATTCTATGATTCTAGATGCTGGCATGTGCCTGCAACCATACAGCTGGAAACATAAAACCTAGAGACCTCTGCAAAGCTGGTTAAATATCATTCTCTGCATAAATAACAAAGAAACCTACTAAGAAGTAAGTTATTAAATAACTTGTCCAAAGGGATTTCATGAGTGACAACCTGGAACTAAGACCCAGTACTTCCCTCTCCTCCCAGGTCTCTTCCATGGAGGGAGAAGCTCCATGTTCTTCCCTGATACCATGCAAGGATAAACAGAAATGTCCCCCCTACGCACTGTGCAAGAAGCACCCCCAAAAGCCTAGAGGCTGTGACAGACCCAGAACACGTACCATGCCTGATGCCAGTGCCAAAGCATTCAGACCCTTATTGACTTTCCTGGGGTCGATCGATAATTTGATGCTCCGACGTCCGTCTGCATTTTTCTCAACACTGGTAACAATGCACCTGACCAGTGTCCCTGGAGAATACATGTCCGAGAGCGAATTCAAGTCCTGCCCAGCAAGACGATCAAGTGAGAAACAAAGATTTTACAGTATTAAACAATATAAGAAGGCCAGAATTTGTTATTGAAGTAGATTTTGAAATCAAAACCCCATAGGCAAGCCCTGTTTCTCTGTCAACGCTACAATAAAAGGCAGGAAATGCCACAAACACCAGAATCTCAATAAAGAAGTATGGGTAACATGGTGTCATGTTAGCAAGGCCAGTACGCTTTGCTTAAAAAGGCATACAGTGTGGGCTGGAGTCATGCAGCTGCAGCTGAGGAACATCTACAGCGCCAACAGTGACCCTAGCCTCACCTCTCTCTTTAGCAGGGAAAAACACCACCAGCGAAAGGCTAGCATACCTGGCAGATCTCATATTCCGCACCACTTTGGGGACATTCATGGAGTGCTGACACCAGAAGGATGGAGTAATAGTTTACTCCACCCTCTTTCTTTCTAGCAATCGGCATTATCAGGAAATTGCAAAGTTTGCCTGGAAAAGCCAGTTCCAAACCAAGGTCAGTCCACATTAGCACTATGCAGCAGCATGTTGCATGTGACAACACGCAATGAAATTGCAAGGACCGTGCTCATCTCCATGCCCTTGAGAAACACTTGCACCCTCACATTATTTTATAATCACTTCCCTAACTTCTTCCCATCACTGCCTACGGGCAGGGATCAGTATACAGCTTCAGCAGCAAACAGGCAACACAAATCTCTTCTGTTCAACAGAAGAGAGGTTCTGAGGTATTATTAACACTCCCCACCTCCCAGGCACAATTTACAGCCCCATTCCAAGGCCTCACCTCCAGGAGTTCTCCTTGGGCCACCTGCTGGCTCAGCATTTTGCTGTAGGCATCGCTGATCTGCGTGACTGGCACAAATCCTGAAAGTCCATTGGGCAAGCTGATAACTAGCTCGTAGTCACTGACCTCTTTTATACAACCAAGGAGCAGCATCCCCTCACAGAGTGCCTAGGAAAGCAGGAGGAATAGCATATGGTGGATATCTTGGCAAGTCAGTGACAACAGGATGGTAAACACGCTTTTGTATCACACCACTGATGTATTTTACAGGTTTAGTGAGGAAGAAATGCCATTTTTATGTAGGCCGGAAAAGATGTACACAAAATTAAACATTTATACACAAACCTCAATTGTGAGTGGTTCAATATTCACAATGCTGTCTTTAGCAGCAGGTTTTTTGTCTGCCTTGAATTTTTTCTGCTTTCCTTGATCCCTCTGGCTCCTTTTTCTTTTCTGGGATTGTTCTTCATGGTGAACCTAAAGTAAATCATAAGCAGAAAGAAAAAAAAAATAGCGGATAAAGAGACGAACTTCGCACTAAGGCAGAAGCAGGCTGCCAAGAATAAAAGTAGAAGAAAATACTAGGATTGGAGGAAAAAAAAAAAAGAACAACCTTGGTAACTGCTATACATCTACATGCAATCCTTCCAAATTATCTCCTTTTGGACTGAGGCTGATCATCTATATCACTGTGAACCTTGGGAATGGAAGAGAGCGGCACTAGTGATCTGCACTCTACTGACAGAGACCAAATGCAGTCTCCATCCCCCAACGCTAGCCTCATTGCACAAGCACCTCGGGATAAGATGCCTGTAGGAAGTTTAAAGGCTAAAGCCTGATTGATAATTCTGATTGCACTTTTTCTGTCACCACATTCAACATGCGTGAGACATCCGGGATCTTTAAGTGATCAGAAGAAAGGTGTCACCAGTTATTTCTTTCTGGAAGTCCCTTCTATAGTTTACCATAGAAGTAAGGGATGGGAAGGATTGCAGGTCATACTCTGACAGCAGAAGAGCTCTGAGAAGAGTTAATCGAGAACACTCAAACAACATACATCAAACAAATTGTCCCGCTCTAACTTTGAGTTGGGTGTTTTTCCCTCTGTGGGTTTTTTCTGGATACCCCCTCGAGGAAAGTTTTCTTCTGTGGATGCCATGCTTGCACTTCTATAGGACAAATGACAAAACAGAGATTAAATGTACAATTATTACACTTGTTCCTCCCAAACACTGAAGAGACATGAGAGTGAATTACCCCCACACTAAAAAGGAATTCAGATAGCTACTTCACGGTTAGTCAGTGATGAAACAGAAACTCATACCCAGATGTATTTAACAGTTGACTACCCTGAAGTGTTGCAACGGTCCATCTAAATATGTGCATCCCTAACACTTTTTCTTGTTGTCCAATTCTACTTAAGTATTTACTAAGGCATTTAGATGCACCACACAGACATTCATAAAGCTGCTTTAGCTGTATGTTTCCTAAACAGATCTCTATTATAATCAGTGGACAAGCTGAAATTACCAGCTTCAGTCATCAAGGAGAAAGCTGTGAGTGAAAAGTCTGGCCTGCATTTTTACTTTCTGGATACCACCCCTAAAGGTTAAGATAAATATGATATACCCTTGTGTAAGGTATACCTCTCTACATATACTTAATAGGCATGTTTAACCTTACTACGTTTCAATTAGTAAACAACACTTTAATTATTAGGTGACGGTTTGCATGCTATTTATTACTTTAGCCAACAGTACTTCTACAGAAATTAGCGCTGAAACACTATGTTGGCAAATTCAAAGTAGCCTGCTAAACATATAAAACTACAAGTACGAAAGGATATAATAAAATTGAAGCTTATCGAGGCACGTTTCATCCAAGGGCTCGCTAAGCAGCACCTTCCACAGCCGGCAACTAAAGCGGCTGCACAGGCCCCCCCACACCGCTGGAGCGGGCAGGGCTGGAGCTCTGCCCGCAGAGGCCTTACCTCCCCCGG